ACACACACACACACACACACACACACACACACACACACACACACACAATCTCTAACTCAGCGCTCCGCCCCTCTGACCCAGCACTGCCCTTCCAAGTCCGGGGCATCAGCTGCCCCCACGCGTGTCTGCTAAGAGCAGCTTCCTGGGTGTCAAGCCCTGCCTTCCCTCCGCTTACCTTCCTCGGCCCTTTCACCCGTGTCCCTCCGCTTACCTTCCTCGGCCCTTTTACCCGTGTCTAGCCCCAACTTCTTCTTATTTCCTCAAGGAGAAAACACAGAGTTTTAAAATCAAAACAACAAAACATGAAGACTAAGCACACCAGGCATCTGCATCTCTCACCCACAGGGGGATTAGGGGATGGGCTTTTACCCACGATGATCTTCACGTGTCTCTTCTTAGAACCCCTGGTTTGGCAAGAGGGCCCAGAAAATTAAGGTCATGAAACAGCTTCTTTTTCTGAAACCAAGTCTTGTCACTATTTCCTCTCTCTCTCACCTCCCCCCCCCCGCCCCCGTCGGCTTATCTGTGGCAATTCAGCCTGATTCAGACTTGAAAGGCGTAAAAAGAGAAAAGCCTAGATTCAAGACTCGCCAGCCCTGAAGAAGAAAGGGCCGTGGCCAGGACACAAGTTACAGCAGAGCCCCGTGGGCTGGTTCCGTTCTGCCTTTCATCAGATTTAAGTACTTCCGCTACAGGAGGGTCACCAGCTCCAGCTCAGAAATGGACCCGGGCCCGTGCTTCCCTCCGAGTCACTGACCGTCCCCTGGCTGCCAAGCCTCCCCGTGCCCCCACGTGTGTGCTGTGCCCTTGTCCCCTCACCAGGAGGATCAAAGGGGCCGTCACTAGCAATCCTTTCTAAGATGTTTTCTTCACGCCCCTCTAAGTGCTGGAGGGAAGGCCCGCATCCTTTAAAAAACAACAGACTGCGGGCTTCCCTGGTGGCGCAGTGGTTGAGAGTCCACCTGCCGATGCAGGGGACACGGGTTCGTGCCCCGGTCCGGGGAGATCCCACATGCCGTGGAGCGGCTGGGCCCGTGAGCCATGGCTGCTGAGCCTGCGCGTCCGGAGCCTGTGCTCCGCAACAGGAGAGGCCACAACAGAGAGAGGCCCGCGTACCGCAAAAACAAACAAACGAACAAAACAACAGACGGCGAGAGAGCATCCGGGCAAGAGCGATGCCCGTGCCGGAGGCGGGGCAGCTGGGGGCAGACTTGGGTAGAGTCTGGTCTTTTCCACTTCCCAGCTGTGCGTCCTTGGGAAATGGTACCTAATGTCTTGGACCTCAGGTTGACCTCCCGTGAACTGACAGTAACAGCACCCACGTCCTGGGTTCTCGTGACCACTAACTGGGACCACACCTGGGATGTGTTCAGCTGCTCGGCCGGGCACGTATTACGTGCTCAATAAACCAGGGGTCTTGCTCCTGCCCATCTTTCTTCCAAGCTCAACCAGCCAAGCCCCAGAGCCGGGAAGGAGCCCGCGTGGCCTCTGCCCATCCTCCTCTCCCTCTCTGTGGCCGTCTCCTGCTGGGACAAATGACCACAAGCCCGGTGGCTTAAAACCACACACATTAGGGACTTCCCTGGCGGTCCAGTGGTTAGGACTCTGCACTTCCACCGCAGGGGGCGCGGGTTCGATCCCTGGTCAGGGAACTAAGGTCCCACAAGCTGTGCAGTGTGGCCAAAAAAAAAAAAAAAAAATGACTTAAAAACCACACACGTTTATTCTCTCACAGTTCTGGGGGCAGAAGTCCTTCATCAGCTTCACAAGGTATCGGCAGGGCCACACTGCTCCCAGAGGCTCTAGGAGAGAATGCTTCCCAGCCTCTTCCAGCTTCTAGAGACGCCTTCCTTGGATTCCTTGGCCCTGGCCTGCATCCTCAAAGCCGGCCGTGTAGCATCTTGCTTCAGTGACACACGTCCTTCCTCTGTCACGGTGGTCGAATGTCCCTCTGTTCCTCTCCTATAAAGGCACTCGGACTACGTTTAGGGCCCACCTGGGTAATCTAGGGTAATCTGCGCATCTCCAGACCCTTAATCACACCCGCAAAGTCCTTTTTGCCAAATAAGGTAACGTACCGGTTCCGAGGATCAGAACCTGGTATCTTTGGGGGCTGTCTTCATGCTACCACACGACCCCAGAGCTTTACCCCAAGTCTTGCTTAGAATGAGCACGAGCTCCCCTGGAGAGCTGGGAGACAAAGACAAGGGGACAAGGTCTTTTCTTTGAACCTGGCTTTTCCGTCACACGTGGCCAGAGGGGAGCAGCCTGGTAGACCAGCACAGGCTGAGATCGTGGATTCCACAGCAGGACCCCAGGGCCGAATGTCGGGAGCACAGTCAAGCTCCTTTAACTCTCAGCCTCCGCATCTGGAATAGGGGACTGATGGGAATGCTCGTCTCGGGGTTGTTCTGAGGAGGAAATGAGCTAACGTGGGCCTGGATTAACGTGTCTGGATTCTCTGGAAAGCAGAGCCTGAGCCACGGACTGGAGGGCGGCGGGTGCGTCTGGGGACTGATTCCAGGACGTGGAGGCGGGAGTGGGGGGCAGGACAGGACACCTAAATGGAAGAGACGGGAAATGAGTTACTGAGCTAGTTACCACGGTGGGCAGGTGGGGAGAATCCCACTGAGAGGCTCCCAGGAAGCGTGAGGAATATATCTCGGAATCTGCCCGCACAGCTAAGATGGGAGCTTGTCTGCACATGACTTACTGAGGATGTTCTCTGGAGACATCCGTCTGGGAGTGAGGGAGGCCGGATGCAGAAAGGGGACAAGCTGAGCCGGGATGGTTTCAGAGGAAATCGAGCCTCGGCCGATCCCCAGAGGAGCTCCGGGTCAGGAACTGTACACACGGTTCGTCCCTCCTTGAGGCAAACCAGGAAGTCATCATCGGGCAAAAAGGTGGGCTGAGCGGTACAGGGCACCCAGGGGATTCTGCAGGTTCGGCTCCAGCACCTAAGGGCAGTCTGTCAGAGGAGGTGCAGCACAGATTGTCAGCAAAGCACCTGCAGCAGGTAGGGGTGAGTGTACCCAACCAGTCGAAGAGCTCCCAGGAGAGGTGGGTGGGCCCCGTGGAATCTGTCATCACAGCCTCTGCTGTCTCGGAAAGCAAGATCCAGTGTCCACGTTAGGACCAGCTCCTCGTGATTGTGACCCCAAAAGAGTCACGACACTGCTTTCCTCCTCCGCTTTCTCTTGCTCTTGCTTTGGGATGTGATAAGAACTCATACGTCCCCCACCCTTCTCTCCCCTCTTCCTAGGTTTCTGACAGGTGTGACTACGTCTTTGTCAACGGGAAGGAAATGAAGGGCAAGGTGAACGTGGTGGTGAACTTCACGTACCAGCACCTGACCAGTCCTCTGGAGATGATGGTGTGGGTGCCCCGTCTGCCCCTGCAGATCGAGGTCTCGGACACCGAGCTCAACCAGATCAAGGGCTGGAGAGTCCCCATTGTCTCCAACAAGAGGTGGGTGTGCAGGTCAGGCGCCATAGCAGAAACAAGTCAAGTGCGTTTAGGCTGAAGGCGGAAATTCACAGGGTAGCCAATTTCAGGCGTGTCTGGTTCCAGGGGTCCATTGGTACCCTAAGGACTGGGTCTCTCTCCACCTCCTGGCTCCTGCTTGCTTTGTGTTGGCTTCGTCATCATCAGGCTTTTCTCATGAGGTTCCAGACTTTCACTCTACCTTCTCCGTGACTGTGCAGAGAGAACATCCTCTTTTGCCCAGTAACTCATGCAAGAATCCTGGAGTTAAGTGTTATCCTCACTTGGGTTATATGTCCATTCCTGATCCAATCACTGTAGCCAAGGAGGAGAAGGAGGAGAAGGAGGGAGAGGAGGAGGGGGAGGGGAGGGGGAGGGAGAGGGGGGGGGGG